CCCCCCCCCCCCCCCCCCCCCCCCGACGCCGCTGACCCCAGCCGACACGCCCTTCGAGGACGGCTCGTTCCGTCTCACTCTCACATTCACCGACGCATACCCAAACAAGCCGCCGACGGTGCGCTTTGTCTCGCGCATGTTCCACCCCAACATTTACAACAATGGCGAACTGTGTCTCGACATTCTGCAGAACCGATGGTCCCCAACGTACGACGTGGCGGCTATTCTTACCAGTGTGCAGAGTCTGCTCAACGACCCTAACCCTAGCAGGTTTGTTTATTCTCTTCCCTCATGCGCGTATGGGTCCCACTGACGCAAGCCCGGCCAACGTTGAGGCCGCTACTCTGTTCAAGGACAACAAGCAGGAGTATGAGAGGCGCGTAAAGGTGAGAGCAACCGCGCTTGGGTCTGGGCGGAGCTGATTGTAGATCACCGTCGAGCAGTCATGGGTGGACGACGAGGATCTGCAAAGCCAGGCTGAACAGTCGTCGCGCCCCACCGTCTCTGCCTAGGTTCATCAACTCTGATGTCGTCGCCCATCGCCACGTGCTCGGTGCCAGCTGCAGGCCGCTCTCTCAGGCACTCGCGCCGGCCAGCCTTCTCGCGGGCATGGACCATTGTATTAGTATAAGCCCAGGCGTACCCGTCTGGCAGTCACAGCATTGAGATATCCCCATCGTGCCCGCCCATGCATTCCGTGTTTTATCACAGGCGGCGCTTGTAGCGCCTGTAGGCGAGGAGTATGGTGCGTGTGACCGTGACCTGCATTGTGAGGACAAGGGATGTTTCAGCGGGGCCACCATGATGACGCCGAAGCCTTTACGCGGCTCATGCGCGCGGCTTTGTCAGGCTTCACACAAAGTTATATATTGGGATAATCAGCGGACAATGATACTCCGACTCCGAGCTGTGTGTGCCTGGCTGGAACCCTCGGCCCAGCGGCCATGTCCACTTGACTGCTCGCTGCTCGCTGCTGGCTGCTGGCTGCTGGGGATCTGAAATCTGCAATCTGCGATCACCCACAAACCCATCATGTCCAGCTAAAACCTACTTTTAGCACATGGCGAGCAAGCCCACGCACACGGCATGCCTCCAGATCTCGATTGCTGGATTGAGGAGGATCAGAGGAGAAACGCCCACGATGTTTTGGAACAAGATCAATTCAATGCGGCTATTTCAATGTGGCTGACGTCTTGGCTGGCATGTTGCCAGCAAATGCTCGCGATTGCCAGAGGATGCTGTCGACTGTACGGCCGTCCATACCGCCCATACCAGGAGACGAGACGACCACACTGCATCTGGCTCTCGGCCATGGGCCATACGATACTCGCTGACAAGCTCACGAAATTGACAAGCGGCCAACACGACCCCGCCCATGCGGCCCATCAATTCTCCTCTCCGGCGATCCATCAACTTTTTACTCGGGCACGCTCTCTTGATCTCTTGACCTCTTGTCCCATCTCCTCCATCTCCTCCATCGTGCACCGGAGAATCATCGTCTCCCGTGCCGACTATACTCCGAGGCGCAATTCATGTCGCACGTCGCGATCTTAGGGATCAAGAAGAGCCAAGGGGATTGCTGACAGAGCAAGCGACGACGATAAGGGAAAAGAAAGATCTGTAAGACATTGCAATTCATGAAATGCGCTATTCATGATCGGCAGTGGCCGCAGTGGGGGAGAGGGACAAGGGCGCCTGCTCTCTGCTCTCTGCTCTCTGCTCTCTGCTCTCTGCTCTCTGGCATTCTGACCACGCTCGATCCTTCATGGGATGCCCTCGCCGAGTCTAGATCACCTTCCTCCTTTCCTCGTCAAACTGCCTGGCCATGGACTTCTCTTCAGAACTTGAATCTCATCTCACCTCATCATCTCATCTTTGCTCTACTCACTCCTCCTCTCTTCTCCTCTTCTCTTCTCTGTACTCACATCCTCACTCACTCACTCTCAACCTTACTTCTCCCCGCCCCCTTCCACAACCCCCCCACAATGGACGGCGCGCGCTACAGAACAAAGTCGCGCCCTCGCCGCCTAGCCCACGCCGATGAGCCCTACTTGGACACACGCAAGCGGCGCCGGCGCCTCTTCTTCTTCCTCCGCCGCTCCCGCCGCACTCTTATCATCCTCATCGTCTTCCTTCTCTTCTTTGTCACCCTCCTCGCCCGCCATTCCCCTGCAAACCCCCACGTCGGCGGCACCATGGGACGCAGCGCGACGCCCCTCGCCCGCGCCGCAAGGCTCACAGAGGCCGCACACGCGCCTAGACGCGTCCCCCGCGCCCCGCTGCCCGACGAAGTGCGTGGCGCAGCCCATACCGTCAGCGGCGGCATGCTCCACGTCGATCCCGACAGCCCTGTGCACCCCATCTACCAGCTTATCCGCGATGCGCGCGCCGCGTGGGACGCAAAGTTTGCCAGGCAGAGCACGACGCTGCGCCAGGCCACGGACGAGTATGTGAGGCGGTACCGCCGTGCGCCCCCCATCGGGTTCGACAAGTGGTGGCATTACGTCGTGTGAGTTGTGGAGGGCGCATAAACCACTGTTGGATGACGTGAGCGGACGTGGCGTCGGGGTTCGTCGCGTCTATGACTCTGGCTCAATCCTCGAAATCCACAACGCTGACCTGACCCCAGCGACAACCGCGTCCAGCTGCCGGACGAGTACGACCAGATTGACAGAGACTTGCATCTCTTCCACGCCCTCCACCCTAACGACATCATCGGGCGCGTTGCCAAGGCCGCCCGCGAACCCGACACGTTTGTGCTCAAGGTTCGCCGCGGCCTCGTTCGCACCACGGGCAGCGTCAACTCGAGCGATTGGCTGCATGGCGCACGAAGAGATGGACAGCTCGAGCTCATCCGCCCCATTGCTCGCCACCTCCCAGACTTGACCGCCGTGTACACGGTGCACGACACGCCTTTCAATTTTGTCAGCCACGCACACAAGGCCGAGCTGCTTGACCACATCGAGGACGATGAGTGTGAGTTGACCCCGATTTCAGTCTTGGGGTGGGGCGAGATCGCCAGGCTAACCTCAGACCTGGACAGGGATGATCTGCCAGACGTGACACTGCGAGGGTGGGCCCAAGCTTGTTCGCGGGCGTCCCCGCTGCGCACATATGACGCCGATGCCGAGCTGCCGGAGCCAAGCCACGCGACGGCCGACAAGACCTTCATCGTTGACCACAAGGCGAGCATGAATCCCTGCACACACCCCGAGCTGGTTCGCCTCCACGGCTTCCTCTCGGGCAAGGTACCTGTCGCGCAGGAGCTGAGCGCCAAGTTCGCCATCTCCAAAACATTCTTGCACGCCGATGTGCTCGGAATTCCCCCCGAAATGGTCGCGCACAAGGACAACGTGACGCTTGTGCCGTGGGAGCGCAAAGTGCACGAGCGCCTTCTCTGGCGCGGCGCCAACACGGGCATGTACTACTCGTCTGACCTGGCATGGCGCGACTCACACCGCGTGCGCCTCGTTCAGCTCGCCGACGAGGCGGAGGGACGCGCCTCCGTCCTCTCCCCTCCGGGACTGATGCGCGGGCGCAGTGTCGGTGCCGCGACGCAAGAACAGGACGTAGGATCCGCCAACACCGCACGCTTCGACATGGCGTTCGTCGACGCGCCGATCCAATGCGACGACGGAGACGGGACATGCGCCGAGATTGCCGCCGAGTATCCGTATCGTCAAAGAGTGAGCCGCGAAGAGGCCGACGCGCACAAGTACGTCGTCGACGTGGATGGGAACGCGTGGAGCGCGCGCTTCCAGCGCCTTCTGATGAGCGGGAGCCTCGTGTTCAAATCGACCATCATGCCTGAATGGTATAACGACCGCATCCAGCCGTGGGTGCACTATGTGCCTGTCAAGCTCGACTACAGCGATCTGCGGGATGCGCTGGCGTTCTTCGCGGGCGACGAGCACGGTGAGGGCGGGCGCGACGACCTCGCGGAAAACATTGGAATGGCAGGCAGAGAGTGGGCCGAGACGTTCTACCGCAAGCAGGACATGATCGCGTACGTCTTCCGCCTCTACCTCGAATGGGCACGCCTCCAGGCTCCCAACCGCCGCGCCATGGCGTTCAAGTACGACCCCGCGATGGAAGCGGTGCGCACATAGATCCGCCGGATACTGTCATATAATTGCCAAATTCCAGTCCTGTTCCACTTAGACCCTCTGTTTCCCGCCGTACATTAGCGATCCAGCAACTCCATGTTATCTGTCATGCATTGAATGGTATGTGTGCTAGGTATGTACTGATACAACGATGTCGGGCTCAGAGCGGCGGCAGGGGTCGCTTGCACAGCGGGCATATGGTCTATTGTTAGCCTGTCCGTTGACGCCAAGCTCACCTTCAACGCCATCCACTGCTGCAAGCACTTGGTGTGGAAGAGGTGGTGGCAGGGCGCGACGGCGTAGCTCCTTCGCGCGTTGAGGCTGAGCAACGGCCCGTCTGCAGGGTCGGGGTGCGTATTGACCTCCTCCATGCAGATCGAGCACGTCGTCTCGGCGGGCACCTCGCCCGCCCCCTCTACGGCGTTCTCGGCATCCGGCGCCGGCAAGAGAGGGTGGTAGTCGTACCCCTCGGCTGGGGCGAACTGGTGTGAGCGTGATTGACATGACTGCGCCAACGCGGACGACTTACGCGTTTGGGGAGGCTAGAGTCAGCAGAGTCCAGGAGCAGGAGCGTCTGTAAACTCACAAGAAAGCAGGTCCGAAACGGTCCTGGGCGAAGAGCACGGCGATCTGGGCCGCCTGCCACACCACCATGCCCCATACCCAGTCGGCGTTGTCGATCAAGAAGACATAGTCGGGGCACACGAGGGCGTCTGGAGTCAGCTCTGCTGCGTCGAGCCTTACATAGCGGCAGCGCGAGGCGGCCGATGCTCGTGCCGATGACGAAGCCGTAGCCGAGGGCGCCGTTCGAGCCGCGGCGCGCGTTGCGGTAGATCTGCGGCACCCAGATGCTCTGCATTGCGAAGAGGACGAACGGGATGACCGAGGGCATCGACGCAATCTGGATGAAGATGAACATGAGCGCGACGGCGCCCAACCCTGTCGTCAGCTCCACCGCTACTCAACTCACATTTCAGTCCGGGATATGTGGTCAGAAGGTGGGCTAGGCGGTCGGTCCACGGCATGGGCGGCTCGGACTCGTCTTCCGACTCGTCTGCTCCGCCATCGCCTGATGCATCTGTCGCAGTGGACGCGGCGCGGCGACGCGGAGGGCGCGAGATGATGCGCTCCGGCGCCTGGATCCTATGCAGCAAAACGGCGTATCGCTGGGGTCAGCGCAGCCGCTCGGCATACTCACTGGTCCGAAGACGATCGCCGTGCACAGTGCCGCGAAGCCTGTGACTAGCATCGGAAGGCTTGTCCTGTTATCGGACAACACGCCGGTCAGCAAGTGTGCGCCGCAGATCCACGAATCGGAAAGCGCGATGAGCACGATCGTCCAAAGCGAGACCTTGGCCAGTGTCGAGGGGGTGCGCGTGCGCTCCATCTGATTGACGAGGAGGAAGAGGACGAGAAGCTGGGACAAAGTAGCGTACGCGGCGTCTGCCGTCAGTTTCGGATGCGTTTGGAAAGCTCACAGTTCACAGTCTTCCGCCAGAAGTCGTCTAGGGGTACCCCCCGGCCCCGATCCAGACCGGCTACGAACCCACATTGGTCACCGACGATCACACCTCCGAGACCCACGCCCTGCCAATATGTGGGTGGCCGCTTCAAGCTAAATAACAGACCTGTGGGGTTGGCAAGCTCGCTGTCATACCGCAGTACGTCCTCGAGCTGCACACCTGCTGGGAGGGGAGGGAGGGAGAGGTGGATGAGCAGGGGGCACTTCGTTGAAGACGGTTCTGGGAGTTAGCCCCATTTACGGATCCCAGACTCCAGCTCACCTTCCGGCTTCACGTCGGTAAGGAGCAATGAGTCCTCCTGGATCTGCAAGTCCTTCTTGAGCTCGGTAAGCACTATTTGCGCCGTCTCGTTGTGGTGATCGGGATAAAGTGTTGGGATGTGTCGGATGTCCACGCGCTGCGATTCGTGTAATGAGAAGAGCTCATATGTCCCGTTGGCAATGTGGTGTAGCCCGTAGAACTTGTACTCGAGCGTCGTGTTGGGCGCGCCCACTGTAATGCCGCCCCGAACCCACGCCCACTTCGGCGCGCGGGCGACGAGATCATCGTCCTCCCGCCGTGGCTCCCCGAAGTCGCCCTCCGGCCTACTCTTCTTCCGTTCTCCTTCTTCGTGCGCAATGCCTCGCTCCACCGTCACTCGCAAGTCCCAGGACGTGATGGACATCCAATCGAACTCGCCGCGCAGCTCGTCAGCCAGCGTCTGGTTCCACCCCGCGCGCTCCTTGACCGCTGGCAAGGGGATGCCGCGGAAGAACGAGTCGCTCCGGTCCTCCTGCTCCTTGAGGAGGTCGACCGGGTGCGCCACTGCGTGCCGGTACCACCCCGTCATGTTGGGGAAGAAGTGGCCGCCGCGCGCCGCCACCTCGCTGTGGTCGAAGCGCGTCGGCACGATGCTCGATGCGAGAATGCTAGGAGATGGGGGCTGGGATTAGCTGCGTGCACCGGCGACTGATCAACGCGCTTGGCGCAAGCATGCTCCAGCGCGCACCGTTCCACCACACCACGCCCACTCACCTCGGTCCAGTTTCCCGTCCCGTTCAGAAACCCCTCGTACTCGGCGACCTGCTGCCGCAGCAAGCTGAGCTCCGTGACGCGCTCGCGGATCTCGCCGTCAGGCCCTATTGTGCCGAGGGGCGGCTGGTTGCCGCCGTTCTGGGACATGAAGAAGAAGAACATTGTCAGGAACAGCATCGAGCTGAGGCTGCGCTGCGGGCGCGGAGGCATAGGCTCGCCGACGAACACGCCGGGAAAGCCGCCAGGCGGCATCGGCATCGCGAGGGACGGGTTGCCGGTCGAAGTGGGCAGGCCGCCGGTGTCGGCATCCCGCCCGCGAGGGGAGCGGGGGTCGGGCTGGTCGTCGGACATGCCGAGATGGGGAGGGAGAGTGGAGTGTAGAAGAGGAGAAACAAGAAACTCGGGATGGAGGAAGAGGGTCGAGTTGGGTGGCCAAGTTGAACGGAGACGGGGCGTGGCATTGGGCCAGGCACGCGTCATTCAACGGCAACTACCCCACTCTGCCCCATCTTCCCCGCACTCAACAGCGCCTTCAGAAAGGTCGGCCTTGCGCTCAAAATCATGACGCATGAGTAGCATTGCCTCGTCGTAACCTAGAGAAACAAGAGAGACACGATATAGTACTAATTCTATCAGGTATAGTGGGCACAACAGGGGCACCGACCATTGTCAGCGCGGTTGACGCGTCACAGGAGGCGCCAGCCAGGCGGCGGGGCAAGGAGAGGTGGGCAAGCCAGCCGAGGCAGCGTTTATTGAGAGGCTAGCGTTGAGAGCAAGAGGCGAGAAGGGGAGGAGACGCAGGTTGAGGGATGAAAGATGCTAGATGAATAATGGTGTGGTCGGAAGCGGGTCATCCTCCCCTTGGTGGGTGGGGTGTGGGGGTAATCCTGCGCCGTCTTAAAGCTTGAGGAGGAAGTTGGTGCTCTCGAACCATCCCCAGATGAGGGCGCCCGAAAGAATAGGAAGGGTGAGGTTGTCATCGACACCAAGATCGAGGGCCTCGACCACTGCACCACCCACGCCGACGACAAGCGCAGTGGCGATGCGTCCAAGCATGCCCGAGTCGAGAATCAACCAGTCGTGGTACACAGTCGAGCCGCTGTGCCAGAAGCCGATGCCGATGAGGAAGCCGGTCACCGACGCGGCCAGGAAGCCAGCAAGCGACTTGCGCGGGGCAAATGGCAAAAACTTGATTCCCGGGAAGTGCGCTGGAAGCGGAGGGGTGTAACGCCCCCACAGACGACCCAGAGTGGAAGCAGTCGTGTCAGACCAAGACAGGCTGCGAATGTCAGCAGTCATGATGTGGGGGAGGTGGCGCATTGGATGGACGGCCAGTCGATGAGACGAGCACAAAATTCAGACTCGGGAGTGGCGGTGGCGTCCGAGGCCATGTACACTACTCACATGAGGATGGAGACAACCGCGACATCGCGAGGGTAGAGGGCAAGCACAAATATGACGCCGACGAGATACCAGACGACGCCATTGATCTTTTCGCGTTCCTCAACACGCATGAGGAATCCGCAGACCATCTCCCAGATCTCTGCAAATGCTGGCGAGTTGAGGCGGATCATGTCGACGGTGAAGATGAACGCACAGGCGGCGCTCAGATACTTGAGGAGGGGCATGACGCTCGGGGGGTCAAGGTAGTAGAGCACGAGCGTGAAAAAGCCTGCTGGTCAGCATGTTGCATGATGATGGAGAATGTCTTTGGGACGTCTTTAGATCTTTCGAGGCAACTCACCGATCGACGAGTGGAATGCCTTGCGGGGAATTTCCCAGTCTACCACCTTCTGAGGCGTTACTCCAGGAGGAGGCTTGACTTTGACGCTGGAGGAGCGGCGGCGGCGGCGCACCGGCTGCCCGTCGGGGCCAATGACGACGGCGTGTGCGGCCCCCGCAGATGGGGCGGGTGGGGGCGCGTGTAGGGGGTCCTCGTCCGCGGTTCCTTCGACATGTGCGCGGATAGTTGGGAGGGTGCCAACTCCGGCGGGTGGAGAACGCGCCTGACGATTGCGGCGGCGGAACAAGTCTTCGTCTTCAGAGATGGAGCTGACCGAGCTTTCGCGCTTTCGCTGGCCATCATAGTAGCCGTTGGCACTGGAATTGACATTGCCGTTGCCGTTGGAGGTCGCGTGACCGTTGATCTTTGGGCTCTTGTTGGGGTCCATGGTGTGGAGAGTGAACGTGTCTTTGTACTCTTTGGGTTCCATAGAGGGACGACGAGGAGGGCGGGGTGAGTGATGGAGAGGAGGGGAGGCGCTTGCGCGGATACGTGGGCTTGATGGAGATGGGGAGCGGGCAAATGACGAGAGAGAGGAAGCGGGAGATGGGGAGCGGAATGGGGGTAGCGACGCGGCGACGGCCATTGGGGCAGATAGGTCGGTGAAGGGCGTGTCGAGGAGGACAGAGAAAGAAAGAAAGAGATGAAGAGGATGAGGAGGATGAAGAGGATGAAGAGGATGAAGAGATGGAAGAGATGGATGGATGTACTACTACTATAGTAATTCAAATCTCCCTCCTTTGGAAAGTAGAGAGGAGGGTGGATAAGAATGGCCGCGTGCTCCAGGGTCGATAGGGTGCATTGGGCGCACGGTGGCCGGAGTGGCGGCTGCCCATCACCATCCATTAGATATCGGCCCCCGTATCCCTAATCCCTCCTAATGTCCCCTAATCCCTAATCATCGCGTCTGCCACGCCACCCAACACACTTTCACTTGCTTGTTCTCTCTCTCTTTTGTTGTCTCCATCGCATAGATCTCTGTTTCGTTGTCGTCTGCACGACAACTACTGTATGATATCCATTTCTCCAGCCGTCCAGTCATTTAGACTGTCGCCGAACTCGCTTCCTGGCCACCGCTTATTACATTATTACTCTGTATGGTACCTGGATGACATGATGATATTTGGTTCCGCGGCTGAGCCAGACGCGTCCCCCCCAGGCCTCCACCTCTCCAGCCAGAGTGACGTGACGTGACGACTCCCCTCCCCTCCTCGCCTTCCTCTCCGACGTCCACTCGCGCTTCAACCGTTGCACTCTTCACTCACAACGCAATGAGCTACGTCCTCGACGAGGCTGCACGTTCGTTTTCTTCCCCTGGCATCCTTCTAACCCCCTCCCCAGTCCTCAAAGCGTACAGTCTCAGCAGCCTCAACCCCTCACAATGGGAGCAGGTCGATCACGGACAAGGGCCGCTCGCGACGCTTGAGGGCGGATCCGGCGAGGAGATGGACCCATTAGGCCTTCGCGGAAGGCTCAGTACGTGAGTGATAATTCTCCCGATGTCCTCAACGAGTTCTTGCGACCTCGGCGTTGCCGCGGTCCGTGCGATCATGACCTGACGTTACAGTGTCGGCGAAATGGATCTAAAGACGCGTGAGTCAGAAGCACACCACAATGCGGCGCGCGGGGGTCTAAGAAGAGAACCGCAAAAGCGAAGCCGGCTAGTTCTTCTGCGACGCTGTAGCCATTCGAGTTGATCAGCTGACAACAGGCGCCGCAACGTCGTTGGCATCCAAAACATTCGACCCGAAAGTCTTCCTTTCGATGCAGCACCCCGATGCGTCGTACCAGGATCTACGCCATGGCATTTCTCACCTTGAGCAGTCTATCGAGTCGCGCTCAGAGGCCGTGCGCATTCTCGTAGAGGACAACTTTGACCGCTTCGTCGCAGTCAAGGCGACTAGCGATGGTGAGCTGGCTTTTGACACGATTAGACTAACAGCAGTCGTGTACCGTGACATGAGGGAAGGTTTCCTCGCCGATGATACAGATCACGGGACGCGCGAGCTCCGCGAGATCTTCAAGCGTGTGTTGAACTGCCTACCTCGTGGCCTACTCTGGGCTAGAACTGACTGCAGTTGCGACGCACCGCGCCGACCAGGTTTTTCTCCCTGTCCTCGAGAACTCGGTGAAAGCGGCCAAGCTGCGGTCAACGCTTGGCGTGTTCGACAGGTCAAAATTCCTCTTCAACCTCCCTGGCCAGCTACTCGAGTCCATAAACGCTGGGAGGTACGATCAGGCGCTTCGTGACTACAAGAAGGGGTTGCATCTTCACTCGGCTAGGTCACAGCCTGGCGCTTTGATCCCTGGTGTCCCAGCGCGCACCCCCGACCAGATTGCTCGCCAGCGTCGCGTATTTGACAAGGTGTGGGATAGTGTGGAGAATGTCATGGTCGACATGGCGAAGCGTCTGGACGCCATGCTGAAGGATCCGTCAAGAAGCGTCGAGGAACAGGAGAAGACTCTGGAGTGAGCCTTCCAGTTGAGTGTGAGGCTGACCGAAGAATCCTGATCGACATCAAGGGCTCAGACGAGCCAGCATGGAGTTACCTCGACTACCAGCACTCCCAGATCCTCGACAACATGAAGAGCATGCTGGATCGTACACACAAGGCTATAAAGGCTGCACAGACAGCGGCAGAGGCCGAGCCATCGTCGTCGTCACCACACACAGACCTTCTCCGGCGGCAGCTTGCTGTGCAAGAGTACACGCCAAATGTGATTCACCCCTCAGCAAACGAAACGGCATGGAACGCAATCCTATCAATGTGCTCACGACTGGGAGAATACGTCGTGCGATGCTTGCCTGGGTTCTGGAAGATTGCCAGAGCTTGCATGGACGGCAAGTATCTGAAGCGTGACTCGAGTGGCACGCTGAAAGCCTCCTTGCGCCCCGCAACATCCTGCCGGCAGATGGCGTCGGACATCCTCAAGACCTATCTCTCCACACTATCACAGTTCTTTACCCTGTCCGACATTGCACTCGTGGCGCGGTCTAAGCCGACCACTACCATTCCCGGCTTTGTACCCGCTGGAACTACCGTTCTCGCAGCGTGCTACTATTCAGTCAAGATTATCGACGACGTCGCTGATTGCGTGCTCGAGCTCACCGCAATCGACGTAGGCAAGGAGGCTAGCCAGGGCGCCAAGGCGATGCTTGACTCTTTACGGTGGAGGTTGGAGGAGGTTATCGCTACTACGTGGGCGCGGGACGCCCGAACGCTGCATCTCTTGGATGCCCGTTCAAAAGGACCGGTCACTGAAAAGATACGCGGCCATGCTCCATACCTCAAAGTCGTGGAGACATTCCAAACTCGCATCCTCAGATCTGCTCGGCGCGTCGCGTCCGCTGGGACCGTGCGCGATCAGGATACGCCGCCTGTGCCGCAAATGTTTCGCTTCAAAATCCGTGATTCGGTCGTTGAAACGGAGAGATTGCTGCTCGATGGGATTCTGCATATGGCCAAGGAGCCTGAGATTCCCCTGGAGGATGTGAATGGGCACGTCCTCACCGCTTCTGACAAGGAGAAGGCAGTGGAGACAAGTCTCCTCGACGGGCTGGCTGCCTTCCATTCGATGGCTGGAGATCATGTGCCATCGCTAGCAAAGAAGCTGTGCGACGACATCGGGTTGTCCGAGGCCGACGTGTCGTCGCTTTACACGGATCTCGAGGGCGTGGACAAGCTCGTCTTTGACGAGTACATCTCACGCTGGTCGTCGCGCCTCGTCGAACTGATCCGCTCAGGCTTGATCCGCACAATCGACTGGTCATCGGCGCCCACGCCCAAGGAGGTGCGCCCGTACATGCACACGGTCGTGTTATCGCTGGTGGAGGCGCACGCTCAGGTCTCGGGCGCGTCGCACAAGCTCGTCCAGCGTGTCATTGAGACGTTGGTGGACTGCGTCGGCGACGCGACACTGGATGCGTTCCGGCGCGTCGGACGTTTCGGCACGGGCGGCATGTTGATGGCGACGCTGGAGATCGAGTTCCTCAACCAGAGCGTCACGTCGTTCCTCACGCCGCACGCCAAGGACGTGTTCAAGCAGGTCTACGACATTATATCACAGCGGTATCAGCGACACGCGGCGCCCGAGTCACTCAACCGCGACTTGGAGGCGATGCGCAAGTTGCTGAGTGAAAGCCGGCGGGGGACAGGCGTGGAGACGCTGTGCTTCCGGCCGACAGCGAAGTAGGGCAGATCCACGCGTCGATCTGCGCGGTGGCGTTCTCGGCAGCACTGAGACAAGCTATGATATGAATGTGGGGTAGGACGGAAACGTCTTTGCAGTCTGTGAAGTCTCCATCTCGATGGCTTATGCTTCATCCGGAGTGCCACAACTCTTGGTTGAGGCGTTGAGTGAGGCGCAAGGCGTCATGCCAACCAGCAGCCAGATCACCAGAGACCTGAGGCTCGGCTGACGTGAATAATAAATAGCCTTCAGCGTGCTCTGTCAAGAGGGCAAGATGACAAGATGACAAGATGACAAGATGTCAAGATGTCAAGATGTCAAGATGTCAAGATGTCAAGATGTCAAGGAGATGACCGATTTGTCCCCAACGGATTGATGTGATGGGACTTTATTGGCCGAGGTCAACGCGAGGATATCGAGAAATCGCGAGAGACCGACTGGGCAGTCCATCGTGTGTATCTCGGCTCCCAGCTGACAGCTGGCACTGCGCTGGCAGCCGCCAATTCGCCAATTGACGCCAAGGAGTTCAAGCCCAAGCAAGGTAGCCGCAATGTGCCTGGGGGGGAGCATGTGGGCTACAGTAATCGTACGCCCGGCAAAACCGCGCAAAATGGCCAACCGCGCACCTCCGCCTCAAGCGCCTCGGGCCGGGAAGGCGCCCGATCTCCGAGGGACTGATGTGTTGCAGGGCAGGCCCTGCTGCTTTATTGCGCCTGTACGCCTTGGGCCTTGGGATGCATGTCCTGGAAAACTTATCGACGTCACCCATTCTACACGTCTACACGGGGCGGGCACAACAGCCACGGCGGCCGACGCCTTGCCGCGCCCGTGGAGGGACGAGGACGCGACTGTGCAGAATGAGGGATGTGACGTCTCACTCAGTTCATGGGGGGGGGGGGGGGCACCGAGGCTGACGCAGGCCCATGTCTCTCTCTACTCGATTTCATGCCATTACGCCGCACCCGCTATTATATAGTTGATGATGGGATGAGTCAGATGAGCGAGATGCACTAGATGCGCCGCGTTCACCGAGTCGAAAAAGAGAGAAGTGGGCGCGGAACAAAAGGGAGAAAGAGGAGAAGGAGAGGAAGCGGTTAAGCCGTGTCTTGGCCAAGGCTACAGTAGGCTGCGGGCTGCGGAGGCGGGCGTGAGCGAGAGACTACTACCAGTGATGGATTGAAGATCAACTGGAGACTGACAGAGTGCCATGTGGCGTCAATCACCTAATACAACACCCAATCACCCAAAAGACCCAAAGACCCGGGGCGGCGGGGCGGGCAAAATGCGCGTCACCCTTGGACAGAGAATTAGAAAACGGGTGTATTGTATATTACAACTCGAGGCCAAGAGGGATTAATGATCTCATCCAACCACCTTGAGAGGCGTGTCCCCGCCCATCTCATCTCCCCACCCGCCTCTCCAACCTCGGCCTCGTCGGCACTCGTCGCCGTAGGGCCGTCGTCGTCGTCCTCTTTCCTCTTTCCTCTTCATCATCCTCACTAACTCATCATCATCCACATCTTGTGCACACCCAAAGAGGACCCCCTCATCGACATACTAGTCCTCGTCACTCCCTCTCCCTATCTCCCCCAACCCATCCTTCCCTTATTACAAACCCCTCATATGGGCTCCACCACCCGTGACTACCCATCCATCTCCATTCTCACAACAACTTGTGTCCATCTTGTCCCACCACCCCCTCCTCAGCGCTCCCCTCAACGCCGATACCCAGCCCGTTCCATTTCTTGGACACTTTGACCCCCATCGCACTCGGCTCGTCACCACATCATCCCTCTCACCGCCCACGTCTCGGCACTCCTCCTTACCTCTCCCTCCTGCCATTGGTCCTAACCTGAAGCCAATCGCGTCCCCATCGCATACCCCGTATCGCCATCACCATCACCATCACCACCCCGGATCTCGGCCCCATCGCATAGCCTTACTCACAGATCTGTCTTTACCCCCCCCATCACAACTCACCATCATGCTCTCCTCCACACCAGCCATTCCCTTGCAGAGCATTGACCTCGACCAAAACGGGCGACGTCTGAGCCTGCGCACCGCTGGCGGCCTCGAACTGTTTACCAACCGCGACGCGCTTCCGTCCCCAGAGCATCTCACCCCCATCGAAGGCAACACGCCTCTGGCCTCTGGTGCCGCAACGCCGCGCTCGGAAAATGGCGGAGGAAACAGCCGTCAGCCATCGCACGTCAATGTCCAGGACCACTTTGTCGAAGGTGGAGGAGGCCTGTACAAGGCCAACTCGCGCGGAGGTCTCTGGCACGACAAGTACGAGGTAAGTGTTTAAAAGCCACTCTTTCCATCTCCCCCCCCTCCACCTTTTCATGATCTCGATGCGGGTTGCGCAGACGGGCCATCTGGATCCTGAGCTCGCACTCTTCTATCTTCTGTTGGCGTTCGTTCTCCCCCCTCTATGCCCACGGGAGAGGGGGCGCCCCGCTTCCCGCTTCATTGTCTGTGATCAAGCACGTCCGTGCCCCCCTCCCCCGCCTCTCCTTCGGCCTGGCGTAGTCTCCGCACATCACTCTTCTCATGCCTCCGTCACCGTGCGCTTCGACAGCGAGAGCGCAACCCTCATGGCCTCATGGCGCCCCCCCCCCCCCCCCCCCCCCCCCCCCCCCCCCCCCCCCCCCCCCCCCCCCCCCCCCCCCCCCCCCCCCCCCTCCCTCCTGTCCCGTGCCACCCCCATGTCGATCCG